CACAAATATTTTTTCCTGCATGTAATTTCCTTCTGCACAACTGCAGGAAGAGGATCTTGCAATGCTCAGCAAAGGGTTTTGAGCCCAGGGAAAGGGTTTGCCCATCCAGCTCCCTGCCACTCGTGCCAGGAGATGCTCCTTTGGCAGCAACACGTGGTCTAAGCAAACCCTGCGTGCGCAGCATCACCCCAGTGCTGCTCCCCCTCCTCACCCTGGATGCTCCAGCAGATAACAGCAGCTGTTCAGGAGCAAGCATGTAGCCATATGTTTTTGCTAACAAGCATTTACTGAAGCTGGTTTCTTCCCATTATTCCCATGTGTCTGATTAATGCACAGCTCCTCCGAGCAATTTTTAGATTTTTTTTTTTTTTTCACCCTCCCCTTGCAAATCCAACTCTTTTTTTTTTGTTGTTGTTGTTATTGTTGTCATTCTGGCATTATAAGCAAACCAGAATGTGAGCATAAAATGGGGTTAACAGCCACAAGACTTGAAAAAAGGAAGTTATAAGTGTATTTAAATAGCTAAGAAGTTATTCACACAATTTTCATTTTGTGGAATTTTTTTTTTTTTGTGTGCTCAGAAACACACAGTTTATGGGCTGGCCCTGCCACGGTCCTGCAGGCTCCAAGCACAGAGATGCTGCTCAACAATGGATCACCTGCCCTGCAAGGGGCATTGGTATTTCTCTGTTCCCAAGTCACATTTCTGGACTCTGCCTGCAGATCTGGACCCCTGCCCGAGCACCTGATGCTGTGGAGTCCTTCTCCGAAGTGTAAAGGAAGGAAAGTGACCTGTGGCTGTAAGAACCTGGGATGTTTTACTGGGATTGCAGCAGGGTGTACAACCATGAGCCTGAATCCCTGGTCCCCACGCTGGGGAGGCTTGACATGGACCTTTATTTCTCATTGCATTCCCAGTTAAAACAGACTGGGGAAAAAAACAATCTGTCTGACCTTGGTCCCTGTTTTCCTCTTGGGAAAGGTTTTTCCAGGGACTGTCCCATGAGCTGAGCAGAGAGGAGGGAGCGGTGGTGGTGGGAACATCCCTCCCTGTGGCTGACCTTATCTCAGTGAGCTATGGGAAAGCACAGCACGCTGGTAGGTAGCAGAGAGGTGCCCAAAGGTGATTCATCCCAGCCCTGGGAGGTCCAGCGTAGGTGGGGTGAATCACCCTCCATCAGAACCTCCAGGGCCAGGATGGCTTCAGAGCAAGGCTGGAAATCACGTTGCAGGTTGCAGGACAACATGTAGGTGTCTCAGCAGGCACAGGGTACCTGTTTACTTCACTTCCAAATGGCTGAACAATGTGGGACAAGTTCAGCCATTCCTACCTGGAGCTCGTTTTCCAGGCTTTTGCACCTCACTCCGAAACAACAAAGGAATTCTGCAATTTCTGAGTGGCCACATGAATTAACAGGGCTCATGTTTGTGTCAGTTGTGTTCAAAGAACCATAGAATCATCAGAAGATTTGAGCTGGAAGGGACTTTAAAGGGTCATCCAGTCCCACCCCCTGCCATGGGCAGGGACAAATTCCACTATCCCAGGCTGCTCCAAGCCCTGTCCAGCCTGGCCTTGGACACTCCCAGGGATCCAGGGGCAGTCACCATCTCTTTGGGCAACTTGTTTCAGTGTTTTGCCACCCTCATTGTAAAAAAATTCTTCCTTCAATCTAGACTGAATCTCCTCTCTTTTAAACATCTTCTCTTGTTCTATCACATTAGGCCCTGTTGAATGTTTGCCCCATTTTTCTCCTAAACTGCCTTTAGGCCCTGCCAGGGGCTCTCAGCTCTCCCTGGAGCCTTCTCTTGTGCAGGGGAGCAGCCCCAGCTCTCCCAGGCTGGCTCCAGAGCAGAGGGGCTCCAGCCCTGGCAGCAGCTGCGTGGCCTCCTCTGGGCTGGCTCCAGCAGCTCCACGTCCTTGTGCTGTTGTTGCCCAGGGCTGGGGCAGCTCTGCAGGTGGGGTCTCACCTGAGCACAGGGGCACAGGGGCACAATCCCCCTTCCCCTGCTGCCCACACTACCCCTGCTGCAGCCAGGCCAAAGGACCTGGGGGGAGATGAACAAAAAGCCACCACAGCATGAGCTGGGACTCGTGTCCCTCCAGCCCGAGGTTTGGTGCTCGTTACGCCCGTCCTGGTTGGGAAACGGGAGCAGATCCCCAGGAAGGCACCTTCACACTCGGCTGGGCTCCCATGTGGATACCTGTGGCCTGGACTCACCACACAACATCAAAACGGGAAGAAACAGGGTTTTTTCTAATCATCCCTCTACACCCCAAAACATGATCACTGCCAGCACTCAGCTCCCTCCAGCCCTACCCAACCCAACGCCAACGCGGGAAAATCAACCTTAACTCCAAAATCGTCATCAGCATCACAACACCAACAGCCCCTCGGGCTGGAGCCCATACCAGCTCAATGTTTAATTCATAAGTGATTATTCTGGCTTTCCAAAAGGTGTCAGGCAAACATCCACAAGAGCTGAGGCCTGCAGATGGCTGCGCTGGCAGCTCAGCAACCGCGGCGGCTTTGCCTTTTCACCATGGCCACAGGCAAGAGAATCAAGTCCTGCTAATAATTTAAAAGCATCAATTAATACGCTTTAATAAATACATAAAATGATCTAGTCTCTTTTTTTCCATTCACTTTTTAGCATCAAAGTTAAGGGTGATTGTCCCGTGAGTAACTAAGGCAAATTTGTTTGTGTACGTGTGTGTTCCTCTCTACTTTTTTGATTTTTTTTTTCCATTGTTTTGTACATAAAGCAATCACATAAAAATAGTTATAAATAGAAAAATTGCAAAGATTTATCCCCACTTAGACATATAGGAAAAAAAAAAAAAAAAAAAAGAACCCAACTGACCTAACAAACAAACCGAGACAGAAAAAACACCTTGCTTCAAGTCCTTGCAGATCATACAGTACTCAGCATCTTTGGATATTTTACAATGACTCCAAATTGTAGACAAAAAAACACCTGAAGGAACCAATCATCTGCAAAACGTCGCTTGTTTAAGAAGTTGATGTGGATTAAAAAGAAAAAGTTTGATGCAGTTTTAAGAAGATTTCTTTTTCTTCTTCCTTTCTTTTTTTTTTCTCTCCACTGAATTTTGTCGCACGTGGAGTCTTTATGAATTTCTTTTTGGAGGAGGAAGCCGAGTGTTGGGCAGTTCCTTGGGACCATTCTGCTATGGGTGGTCTCAGAGCAGAAGTCCCTCACACCCTCCTGGGGGCTGTGGAACCTTGGACTCCCTGTGTCCCCCTCCTTGCCTCTGGTGGGCAGATTCTCATCCAGCCACCGCGTCACTGATGGAAAAACCAAAAAACTCATGAACCCGCGGTCCTCGCATTCCCTTCCATTTTTGCTGACGTTAGAAAGGTCACAGTAAAAAGAGAAATAGAAAGCCCTAATTTGTAACATTTACATTTCCAGGTGTTGGTCTCGTGTAAAACAACCACTGCCACCCACTGCAGCCTGCGGTGGAACTGGGGTCCCACCATGTCTGCCCCCCACGGCTCATCTAGGAGGAGCCTTGAGAGGCAGACGGCCACCAAAAGCCTTTATTCTTCAGAGTAGCTCATGGATTTGGGGCTGAAGGAGGTGGACAGGGCAATTCCAGCCAACCAGCCACTTTTTTTGCCCTGAAAGAATTACCAGATGGGGTGGCCAAGTTGGGGTCTGCAGGGATGCTGGGGAGTCACCCCAAACCTGCTGGCCACCGTGGGTGACCTTCGGCTTGGAGTACCCTGTCATATCTCACCACCTTGTCCTTTGAACCAACTCTAGTGAAGAAACAGCATTTCTGATTGCTTGCAAGTAGACGGTATCACCATCAGGACACCTTTAGTGAACTTCTTTTCCACAAAGATCCCTTGAGACAAGCAGCAGGGATATTTGATCTTTTCCCATCAACACTGCAGATTCGGGGACATGTGTTTTGTAAATTTTTCTCACTATCACATAAGAATTTGAGGGAATTAAGGACAGAACCCTAGACATTTCAGAATGGTCAGCGGCAGCGAATTCTGACTCTTTGGTTTGAAACGACTTTTTCATTTCAAAATTCCCACTGGTTCATTTTTTCAAAGCAAGGGTTTAATAAAAGCTCAGTATCGAAACATTACTGATTTTTCCAAAACTTTTCCTTCACCTTTTCAAGCAACTGAAGTTAAAATACTCAAAATAGGCTTTGGTTCTCCTTTTGAAACTTTGAAATAGCTAAAGAACCAAAATAAGTAAAATCCCCCTTTTCCACCCAGCTTTGTGCTAGGTGTTGTATCTCCTTTTTTAATTTTTTTTTGTGTTTTTTTTTCTTAATGTTTTTAAGGTCCCAACTCATGCTGCAGATCAGGGCTTTCACCAGCCCTGTAAATCTGATATACTGCTGAGAAAGGCAGTGGCCAGGATCCTCCCTCTCTCCCAGCATGGCTGCTAGACCTCCCCCTTATCCCTTGTAGAATAAATATTGTTGCCAGACATGGGAATTAATTAAGAAGAAAAGAAAACAAAAGCAGAGAGAAAACAGCAAAGTCCTTTTGACCAAAAGGGCCAAGGAATGCAACATAACAAACCCAAGTCTGGACAGCTTGTCAGGGTCCAGTGAGCTCCGTGTGGGGGAAAGTAGGGATCATTTCCCACAGAAAAGCCATCTCATGGTGATGGCCGAGCCCTGGACTAAGGCAAGTGACATTTTTGGGGGTGTTGAAGAGAGCAGCAGTCTTGGCCTGGCCTTCCCAGATGGAGCCATGAGTGGTGGGATGGGACAGTGAGTGTCCGACGGTCCCAAAGCCAAGTGCAGAGTCTAAAGTGCCGGTCGCCACGGGGCACTGCCCATCCCTGCTCGCCCCAGGGACGGCCCCGTGCCCCAAGCCCCATGGCAGGACATGGCAGTGAGAGGACAAAGACCTTCTTGGGAACCTGATGATGCAGAAGGGCAGGTGGGAGCCCCAGGGCTGCCTTGTTGGTACGGGAGCAGACGCATGGTGGGACCGGGAGCGGGTTTAGTTGCTGGCCTCTGAGATGGGAGCCACGTGGCCAATCCCCGCCAAGCCACTGAAGCCTGTGCTCCAAGGGTCAGGGAGAGGGAAGAAGGGTTGGGCAGCAAGGTTTTCATTGTGGCCCAGGGCGAAGGCGAAGATGCCCGCATTCCTCTCCATGTCCATCTGGGCCCGCCTGAAGAGCTTCATCTGGGTTTCTTCAATTTGGCTCTCCAGCTCCTGCAGGCTGAAGGGGGTCTTGGCCCCGCTGAGGAAGTGTTTGGGGCTGGGGCCGGGAAGGCACATGGCCGTGCTGCTGAGGTGGCTGCTCATCTCCTCCAACGTGGGCGGCATCACGAAGCTGTTCTCCACGGGCGGGCCCCCGGGGGCGAAGAGCAGGCCGGCCGCCCGCCACGCCGCCGGCTT